AAAACCGGGTTTCGATACTCTTGGTGGCACATTACAGACAGCCCTTTGTGTAGCTTTACGCTTAACTACAAATAAACAAAAACACCGGAAATAAAGCCAAAATAGCGTGTGCAAAAATGATGTTGATCAGGAGAGCAGCTGGTCAACTTAAGAATTATAATGAGAAATTCAGTAAGCTTAAGAGCATAAACTTTGAGATATATATTTTTAAGTAAGGTTATCAATGACGTTCTTTGCTGTATATTACCATAAGGTAATTAATGTTTTATGTGATTTTTGAGTCCCATATATTATATCTTGATTTTTGTTTTCACTCACTAAAAGAGGTATATATGTATATAAACTACTTAATAAATACACAACCTCCAGGTAATATGATTTTATTACGCCATAACCCATTTTTATGGCTCAACCATCAAAGGGACAGTGCTATGAAAATAAATTTCGTTGAAAATTTACAAGTATGATACAAAAAACAACTATTTGTTTGTTTGTTCTTGTTTTTGTTTCAGTATTTCGCGCAAAGCTGTACAAGGACTATCTGTCTACAGCAGTTCCCAATTTTGAACTGATAAACTAAATCACTAGAGGGTGGGCAGGTAGTCAATAGCACATGAGATGGATACAAAATGTGATATCCACAGTGCATTCCTGTTTTCAGTATTTGTAAATAAAGTATTTAAATTTTCTTTAAGTATGTCAGAGATAGGATATGTATTACCTCGTAAATAATAACAATAATTTACCAACAATCTAAGCTATGTACTTAGAGCAAAATAAAACCCAACCTGCCCATCAGTATAAGTAACTATATATACTTTTTTAAAGTTTCTGCTTATAAAGATTAGAATGCATTGTTCCATCAGTTGGATACCCTCGCTGTTAACGATATTTTCGGTCATAATCCCAACAATATCTCAAGTTTTGATTATGAACAGATTATAGCTTGTTTTCTCTCTCTTTGATAACATTCCAGTATTTCTTTAAATGTTCTTTAACATATTTCAAACAATTATTTATAAGATACTGTTAAGCCTATTATTTCAACATTTGAGAAAAGTAAGCGGCAAAAAAAAGGTGTAGTAGATTCTTGTTTCCACACATGGAATACTTATGTTTGTAAAATTTACATATGCATTTAAACATACTCCACAAGTAGTCATGAAAACCAGACAAACCAAGAGCTTAGAAGATTCTACATTAATTGTCACTAGTCAAGGTCTGCCACCTCGTAAAAGAGCTGTGAAGCAAAGAGAATGTGATAAAACATTGGCTTTAAGATCACGTGACTTCGTTTCTCCGAAAAATGCCAAGAAACAAACACATTCACCGAATTTGGGCAGAGAAAAAGAAAGAAATTTAGAAGCAGGTGAGTTACTACTTTCATTTTTTAAAGTTGACATATTTTAATTAAGTAAAAAAAAAATCATAAGAGATACTTGCACTACACGTTCCAAACATGAAAAATTGTTCAGGCATTGTCAGCCTGTTGACATTTTGTATTTCACTGAAAGGGTGATTTCAAGTTTGAACTTATAATGTAATCTACCTACTAGTTATTATTTGTGTGTGAAGTATTTATGACAGTAACGTAATAAATAAATAAAAATGAGAGTATTTTTTCATTAATTTGGTTTATTATTTTTATTCAACTGTTCTTCTCTTCATTTTCTCTATCAGAGCAAAACATTTGTTCTTAAGTAACTGGGCGTATATAGCTGTGTCAGTACCACTCGTAATTCATTACTTTCACTCTCCTGTTCTTAACATCCGGAAATCTGTTTAGTCCAGTCTACAAAAAAAGAAAAAGAAGCCACGAGCCCATGAGGCATGCCACCATACCAAATAGCGTTACATTTCTTTTTCTGGTTTAGATGGGTGAACACGTCTTGTTTGCCAACAAATTTCAATTTTTTCCACAAATGCATATTTCAACGTGCATATAGATTTTAAAATTGAGAGTTAGCTACGAAACGTGGCTAAATTGCTGTTACTCTAGTTACACATTGTTCTGGATCATTCTTCTTTGGTGTCACATGCGTTTTCTTGCGATAAAGATTGCTTTAGTGTTCAAATTTTTGATATTTTTGGCAGAGTAGGAGTCGTCTGCAGTTTAGACAGTATTACTTTTCAAACAGGGTGGTTAACTTTTGGAATGAGCTGCCTTCAAGGGTCGTGGAGGCAGAAAATTTAACTGAGTTCAAGAAAATATTGGGCGAATACATGAGTAGTAAGGGATGGTTATGGTTGGGAGCTGGAAGAGACATCCTTGATGGGCTAATAAGCTCCTTTTTGTCTCTTTAAAATTTTATGAATATACGTTGACAATGATCTTAAATGTTGGTTACTCTTGTGATACTATTCGGATGACCAACAGTGACGCAAGAGATGCATGCAATAGCAAGATGACTCTTTTTACTTCTATGTAATGGTTACCTCTTCCAGTCATGGTTCAATCTTCATTCAGAACTCTAAGAGCCGTTATTGAGATCTCATTCAAATCTCCCTCCAGTACGACCCAGCATGGCCAGGTGGTTAGGGCGCTCGACATGTAATCTACGGGTCGCGGGTTCGAATCTCCGTCCCACCAAACATGCTCGTCCTTTCAGCGGTG